GTAACTGTCCCAGTGCTCCCTGGTTATTGCAGGCTGTGTTCACATTAAAATACGAAGCTTTTTATTTTGGTTGTTCTAGTTTAGCATAAAGAAAGCGTTGGCTCAGCTCCAGGTAACAACCAACCTGTCGAGCAGCTGCTGGATGTTTAATTTAGTTTTTAAAATTGTGGAAACACATTTCAGCCGTTAGTCATCAGTGTGAAGAAGCCTTCCTGTATGTTCCTGTTCCACCTGTGTGATACACCCGTGTGTTCTCCTGTGACACTAGCTTTTGTGTTAGCTGTTCGCTTTGACAGTGTGTAAAAAATATTTACTAACTGCTGCTTAGCTAACTAAGCTAACATCAGCTAACTTAGCTGATGTTAGCTTAGCTAACTAAGCTAACATCAGCTAACTTAGCTGATGTTAGCTTAGCTAACTAAGCTAACATCAGCTAACTTAGCTGATGTTTGTTGATGTTTGCTGGTAATCCTGAAGGTTTTTTTTCCTCGCTGCATTTGAAGCGTCACTAAAGTCTGAGATGTTTCCTTGGTCTTGTTAGCTTTGTGATCAGGTGTGTCTGGTATAGCTCATGTAATGTTATTCTGAATATAACTTTAATTAAACATGACCAGTCTGCTAATGGAAGTTATCCTCTAAGAAATTCCATGTTTGAAATGTCAAATTAAATTCTGAGTTCTTGTGAATCCAATAATTTTAGCTGTAAATGTGAAATTATATTTAAAATTTGAGTTTCCAAGTAACATCAATAAGTCATTTTAGTCCTAATTAAAGATGCCTACAGTTTATTTTTCACTAGCAAAACATTTTTCATTTCTTATTAGTGAAACTGTAGATCTGTAATTAATGTATTTATATTTTGAAATAACTGTAAATGTAATTTGGCCTTTTTGTAATTTATGTTGTTATTATCTGCAGCTTACTTCTCATTGGTCAAAATGTCATTAATTAGTATCAACATTTCACATAATGTTTAACGTTATGGATACAAGTCAATCTTGAATCGGGGATATTTAAACGTTTTCCGTGAGGCTCATCGTACAGATGAACGCAAAGGCAGAAACTCGATGATGTGCTCGGGTGTGTATTCTGACACTGGCCTCCACCTGTGTGCATCTGCCCTCCAGATCCTGGTCTATGAAGGAGAGATGGAGCGAGCTCAGGGTCAGCTGGAGGCGGAGATGCAGAACCTGGAGGAGGAGAAGAACCGCGTCATCGAGGAGGCGTTCATCCGAGCCGAGAGCGAGATGAAGGCCGTCCACGAGAACCTCGCAGGTCA